TCTAGCTCTTATATCTTCTGAAATCGACGCGTTCATACATACGGACAGACGGACAGACGGACGGACGGACAGACGGACAGGGCCAAATCAACTCAGCTCGTCGCCCTGATCAAGAATATATATATACTTTGTGGGGTTTGCCACGCCTTCTTCTGCCTGTTACATACATTTAACAAAACCATTATACACTGATTTCCCATTGAAAATGGGTTCAGGGTATACAAAATGCAAATTAAGAAAATCGTTTTGAAGTCAAATGCGCCCTCCCCCTTTCCTCCCGATTAACCTGCCGTGGCATATCCCAGCTCATACTACTGCAGCAGTAGGGAACGCGGATGCGCCCGTTTGCTGGATGGAGAAACCTCCGGCTTTGTGTTAGTGTGCAGAGTGGTGTTGAAACCCTCGGCCAGATGGACCCACAAGGATTTGTGGAGAAGCGAGACATAACGTATGGCATAGAACCAGATCGGATGCCGAAAGCAATAAGCGAGGTGTTCAGCGACAAGGCAGCGAAGTGGATCTTAACCAGCTTGAGAGACGCGCCCTGGGCCGAGTTTAAAAAAAATTTTTTAGACTTTTTCCTGCCGCCACAATATTTCGAGCGCCTGGAGGATCAAATACGGGCTCGACATCAGCGATAAAACTTTAAAATATTACTTGATTTAAATCAGGCTATTGATGCGCCAAGCGAGGTACAGCGCGGCGCAAGAGCTACATAGGATATATGATATATATATATAAATATAGACTGTACGTGAGGCGTCACGACTTCACGACGTTGACACAACTGACTTAGATGGCGACGGAGTATGAGAACGTCCAAGGCCAAAAGAGGATTTGGGAGAAGAAATCTGTGAGACCCATTCAAAGCCGTCTTGTGCGGGGCCAGCTGATAGTCGGCCCGGAAACCCGTTCCACGTGCAATCGCCGGAGCCGCGGACGGAAGCGGTGCATCGCATGATGGCCCAGGATGCCGGATTCGGTTTCAATCCGCGCCGGGTGTGCTACATATGTGCGCAGATTGGGCACTTCGCGAGGGAATGTCGCAACGCGTAAGTACTTTTTGTCGACGATGCGGCAGAAAACGGAGGAGCACACAAGAGTGTTGCCTTCAGACGAATGCGGAAAACACACAAGGGCGCCCTCCCATGGAGCGGAGTGGTGCCAATTAGCACCAGAAGAGGGAGGCGGATATCCGTTAAAGGTAAAAGAAGGGAAGATCGTCGCGGCGGTGAGGATTGGAGGCCAGAGTATGACCGCCACAATCGACACCGGGGCGAGAGAGCGAGAAGCGGAAAGCTCGGGCAAAGGCAGGATCGCAGAGGGCGCCGAACATCTGGCTGACAGGAAAGGAGACGAGAGGCTTGAAGGGCAACCGGGAGAGCACCCCCCGATACAAGAAACGGTTGGTCCGGAAGAAGAGGGCGACGCAGGGCCTTCCCCCGAAGCCTTGGGGTGGCCGGAGGACTTGGAACCCAGCTTAAAGGAGTTTCTGGAGACCGAGCTGTCACTCTTCGAGAAGCTAGAAAGAGTGTTCCACATCAGGGAACACAACATCAGGATGCGAGACGATAAGCTTCTCAAACAAAGGTATTACCCGAAGAGCCCAGCCATGCAGATGGTGATCAACGAGCASATCGACGAATTGCTCAGAGTCGGAACTATTGAGCTGTCAAGGAGCCCGCACAGTGCCCATAGTCTTTGTCAAGAAGAAGACTGGAGAATGGCGCATGTGCGTAAATTACCGAAAGCTCAACGGTTACTCGATACCGGACGCCTACCCTGTTTCTAGGACTAACCACATCTTAGAAAGATTGCGACAAGCCCGGCGGGTAATGACCTTCGGATTGCACTCGGCGTGGGCAACGTTCTAAAGAGCCCTTACGATTATCGGACCCGAGATGGAACCCCACGCGTTTGCCTACTTAGACGACAGTAATAATCGGAGCTACAAAGGAACAGCATACGGTCAATTTAAGGGAGGATTTCCGGCGACTAAGAGCAGCTACCCTCCAGGTCAATAGGAAGAAGTGCAGTTTCTTCTGGGAAAAGTTGGCTTACCTAGGTCACGTCATAAGTGGAGAGGGGATCTGCACCGACCCCGCGAAGGACGGACGATACGGGACTTCCCGGCTCCGAAGAACCCCAAAGAGTTACGGCAGTGTCTGGGGATGGCGTCCTGGTACAGGCGGTTTGTGCCAGGCTTCGCATTGTTAGTCCAAACGATGACAAAGTTGCTCAAAAAGGGACAGAAATAGGCCTGGACCGAGGAACAAGAGGAAACCTGAACGTGGTGGCCGACGCACTGTCTCGCCAACCCCTAGAGAGCTGTCAACAAGCGGTGGAGGTCTGTCCCCCTTATAAATGGATAGCAGGGATGCGCGAGAGCATTGCCAGGAAACCCGAGAAGTTCAGGGACTACGTGGAGGAAAATGGATATCGGAACTTAGGACATCGGACGGACGACGAGGATTACATCCCCTAGAAGCTATGCGTCCTCAATAGCCAAAGGAGCAGGGTACTGCAGAGGTTCTATCGGTCAAGCATGTTGCGAGATGCCGCCAAGTACGTGAAGTGGTGCGAAATATGCCAAAAATTTAAGGATAAGCAACGAAGGCCGGTGTCGAAGCCGATGGGAGTGTTGTGCGCTGACTTCGTGGCCCCTTGCCCCGGTCGAAGCGGGGTGTTTCATGATGCGTTCGTCAAATGGGTGGAGTTGGTGCCAATCAAGAAGGCTACCGCTACTCTGCTGCAAGGGCTTTCCGAGAGCGCATATTGAGCAAGTTCGGAATACCCAAACGTTTGCGACAATTATGTATAGTTTACGAGTAGGAGCTTTCGATTGTTCATGGGATCCTTAGGATTCGAACTCCAATATACGGCTCCGTACTCGCCGTAAGAAAACCCACAACGATAATATCGCAATACGTCAGGGGTCACCATAGCTCATGGGATGAGTTGTTGCTCGAAATAATTTTAGCTATCAATTCCAGCGTGGCGGACTCCATGGGGTTCAGCCCATCGTTCCTGATGCTGGGGCGGGAGCGCTTGTCGGCTGCCCTGTACGACGAGTTACGCCCGGATCAGCGACGAAGGAACTTCACCCGGACGCAAAGAAGGACAAGATGAGGGAAGTGTTCGCGATTGCTCGCGATAACCTTCAGCGGGCCTCGAAGGATCAAGGGCGATATTACAACCTGCGTCGACGCGAATGGAAACCGAAGCCAGGCCCGTCAGTCCTGTTCAGGCAGCATCAGTTGTCCAACGCGGCGGACGGTTTCGCAGCAAAACTAGCACCGAAATTCGACGGCCCCTATAGGATCGTTAGCTTCGTCTCCAACATAGTGCAGCTTGACAAACGCGGCGAATGCAAAAGAAGGGTGGCCAACATTTCCCAACTCAAGCCTTTCCATCATGACGGCGATGAGAGTGAAGAAGAGCCAGACGAGAGTCGAGGGGCGATCGACGGGGGTTTTCAAAACACTGACGACGATACACCTCAGTCACAATAACGTCCTTACCTAACCTCAAACCTATAGTTAACCCACCCGTAGTATCCTTTGACAAGTTGCGATACTAACATGATAGTTTCAAGACCATTGTTTTAAGAAAAGTGTTAGAAAACGAAATGGAAAACGAAATCATCGTGATCAGCAGCGAAGGAGAAATGAAAAAAGAAGAGACGGCCCGTGTCGAGAACGTGAGCGACACCGACACTGAGCCATTCCCCGGAACAGGGCAGGGACGGCGAGACGACCCACGGATGTGCCGGGACTATTACAGGCCTTGCGAGGAGCGACCCCCACCCAATTTCCTACACACAGTCCATCAGCCCGCGAATAACATCGCGGAAAGGCTAGATAGATGCGTGATGTTGATGGGGGTGGACTTCACCACAGTCTACGTCCAAATACCTCAGTCGTGAGGGGCGTCACCGTATGTGGAGGAGCCACCCTCTCCCCCACCGCCGCCAGCGATATTGGGACCAGAGGTACGTGCCGCCCCCAGAGCGAAGACCGATGGAGGAGCGACGTCGAACGACTGGACGCAGGCTGCGGGGCCACGGCAGGCGCAGAGCACCCCCGCGGGCATGATCAGGGCCCCCGCGGACACGATAAAGGTCCCCGTGAGCAAGATCAAGACGCCCGCGAGCACGATCAGGGCCCCCGGGGAACAAGCCGCAGACGAAGATGGACGACTGGGAGCTCAACTTATTCGACATCCTCATGGAAGGGAATCCCCCCTCGTTCGAGTTGGCACCGGAGATCCCGGCCGGCTGGAGGATCCATCCCGCCGGCACTTGGTGAAGGGGTAGTTCAGGCAGAGCAGCGGGAGCTAGGAGCACGGTAATTACCGCGCAGGAGGACGCACTCCCGCGTCAGTGCCGAGGGCGTCACGGTCAACGTGATAATCGCGGCGTCGGAGAGCGTGACCATCTCCCTGAAAAGTAAGGGGGGGGGGGGGGGGTGTAAGGCGGCTCATTGAACCGCCTCACATACTCGAGCTTTAGGGTGCAACCGATAATGGAGTAAAGTCGCAAGGAGCGCACCACATAATTAATTCAAATGCAATAAGGGGACCCGTGCAAATCGCAGCGATCGGCAGTGGTACCGTGCCGGGGGGGATCGCGCGGCCGAGATGCGAAGGCGGCTCAAGAGCGCAAGACATTTATTCGTTCGTAAGCGGGCAAAACAAGCAGGTGAGCGTCAAATGAAAAGAGCGCGCAAAAGCTTATATAATAAGGAAAAAGTAATAAGAAAGATAATCGTTTTGGAGTTAAATGCGCCTGTTTTGTTTTTATTGAGCATTAAATAAATTAACACTGTAGGCACTTACGTGCGTCAACAAGGCGCTGGAGTTCTGGAAACGAGCAGAGGCCCCCGCCATCCAGGGGCGAGCGGGAGCTGCGGCCAGGAGACCCCTGGCGTTAGTGGGCCGCCAGATGACGGCGATCGAGGCCATTGGAGCCACTCAGCAAAGAGCCACTAAAGAGAACACTATATACATAGTGCCTTCATATAATTTAGACTGATATTAATAAAAATACTTTGATTTTGTTGGTTTGTTGTTACTGATTGAATGTTATGTTTTTATACCCTGAACCTATTTTCAATGGGAAATCAGGGTATAATGGTATTGTTGAAATGTATGTAACAGGCAGAAGGAGGCGTGGCAGACCCCATAAAGTATATATATTCTTGATCAGGGCGACGAGATGAGTCGATTTAGCCCTGTCCGTCTGTCAGTATATTTGAACACGTCGATCTCAGAAGATTTAAGAGCTAGAGAATTGAAATTTTTTCCGTGGTCCGTGTAGACCACGCATATCGAGTTTTTCTTAAAATATCGATAACTTGCCCTGTTATTTGTTATCGATTAAAAACATTATCGAAAACTAGTAATCAATTTATATCTGCTACATCTTTAAAGCTAGAGTAACCAAATTTGTAATGTAGATTCATATGTACTTTATTGAATTACGATTTTGATCAAAATACCCTCCATATATGTTATATGTATTGTTCAAATTAGGCTGACATGAATGAAATAAAAATGTTATCGGATGAGTTATCGAAAAATATGATACACATGAGTATGCATGCCAAATTTCAAATCTCTCTCTAGCTCTTTAACTTCTGAGATCGACGCACTCATATGGACGGATGGACGGACAGACAGACGGGAAGGGCCGAATCGGCTCAGCTCGTCGCCCTGATCAAGAATATATATAATTTGTCTGCCACGCCTCCTTCTGTCTGTTACATACATTTCAACAAAACCATTATACCCTGATTTCCCATTTTCAATGGGTTCAGGGTATAAAAATGGTTGCTTAGTGTTGTTTAATTATATATATTACTTATTAATATAATTTGAAAAAAGCCCTTATCAATTAAGTATATTTTCATATGTAGACATAATACTTTTTTTTTTTCTTTCACAGCGATACAAGTTCATATTCGATATATAATTTAAGCGCTCCATTTCCATATTTGACAGCCAAATTACGGATTTATAAAAAAAGGCAGAAAACGTGGTGGATGATAATGCCGCCAATTGCGTGAGTATTTAGTTTTGCATCCAAATAATTATAATGATTTAAAAAGCACTTTGTGATATTATTTATTGTCACATTAAATTAATCAGTATTTTGATTTGTTAGCCATATTAAACTAAGCGGTATGGGTAAAACATTAACTTAGAGTATGCACGTATTTTGTTCTGCTATTATTTATAAATATACTCGAATTTAGTTAAGCTTGATAACAAGCAATGTAATGTAACAGACAGAAAGGGACCCTGCTGAACACATAAGGTTGTATGTACATAAATTCTGGAACAAAGCGACGAGATAAATCGATTTAGCTCTGTCCATCTGCTTATCTGTCTGTATGTATGACCGCGTCGATCTTGAACCTTACAAGATATAGACAATGCCTAATAGTAGACACAGGTCAAAAATTTTGTAGCACAAATTCACTGACTGATTTGTCCCCAAATAATTGTTCACTCCGCCTATAGCTTTATTTTGTTCAATATGAATAAACAACTATTTAGGTATTTCTGGCTGTCCGTCCGTCTGACCAGCCAAGACCAAAAAGCTATGGCGGATTCAGCTACGCCCACAGGAGGCGTGGGAGCCTAAAAACTAGTATGAAAGCTCTAGTCGAGACTGCTCGACTACGAGATCGTCTGAACCCTTCGAGCGAGCAACTGATATCTCAATTATTATTAGCACATGCACGTACACACGCACACAATCTACATTAAAAATTTGATGACTCTAGCTTTAAAGGTTTAGCAGACTTAAATTTATTACTGGCTTTCGATATTGTTTTTAATCAATAACAAAATAACGGGGCAAGTTATCAATATTTGAAGCAAAACTCGATATGCGAGTGGTATACACGGATCTAGGAAAAATTTCATGTCTCTAGCTTTTATATCTTCTAAGATCGACGCGTTCAAGCATACGGACAGATGGACAGAGTTAAATCGACTGAGCTCGTCGCCCTGATACTTTCTGGGGTCTGCCACGCCTCCTTTTGCCTGTTACATACATTTAACAAAACCGTTATACCCTGATTTCCCATTTTCAATGGGTTCAGGTAACGAGCAGCTTAAAATTTGGATTATTAGTAACCTCCCTTATGACCCAAAAATAATTTTTACACAGTCGATAACGCCTGACAGCAACGTTCCTGTTTAATCTGAAAATAGTTCTAAGTGAAACAAATTTTATTTTTAGGTTAAATAACTTGGCTGGTACATTTGTTAAAGGAAATGTTTCTATAATTTTAACATCGCGAGAAAATGCTCTGCAGACCAAAAAATCTCTATTACAAGGTAATAATACATTTTGGATTCCAAAAAGTTTGACGAATACTAATACAAATGAAGCCTATGACAAAATATTTATAAAATTATTTGATTCAAGTACTACATTTCCTTTTGATCAAGAAAAGACAAATTCCACCGATAATCTTACGAAGGCAAAAAAAATCATTAGAATGCCAACTATTGATTATGAAATGAAATTAAAAACTAAAGATGACTCAATTCCAGCTTCAATAAAATTGTTGGACAAATGTCCAACAAACGCTAAAACATTATGCCTGAATATGTTGGATGAGCAAGTGCCAGGTAATTAATATATCTTCTAGAATCAAATGAGATACAACTTAAAAATTGGCTTTTCAGCCTTTTGAGAAATATTTAAAATTTGTTATACCCTGAACCCATTGAAAATCGGAAATCAGGGTATAATGGTTTTGTTAAATATATGTAACAGGCAAAAGGAGGCGTGGCAGACCCCAGAAAGTATCAGGGCGACGAGCTCAGTCGATTTGGCTCCGTACGTCTGTCCGTTTGCTTAAACGCGTCGCGTCTCAGAAGATTTAAGACCTAACGACTTGAAATTGTTCTAGGTCCGTGTATCCACGCACATATCGAGTTTTGCTTCAAATATCGATAACTTGCCCCGTTTTTTGTTATCGATTAAAAACATTATGGAAAATCAGTAATAAATTTATATCGCCTACCCCTTTAAAGCTAGTCATCAAATTTTTAATGTAGATTTTGATGTAATTTATGAAATTTAAATTTTTGTCAGAATTTGAAATATTGGTTACTCGAAGGGTTCAGGGGATCTCGTAGTCGGGCAGTATCGACTAGAGCTTTCTTACTTCTTTATTATTAGTTCTAATTTATAGTTTAAATGATGAATATAAACTAATATCTTTAATATTGAATTATTAATATTACAGCCTTTAATATTAAAATTAAAATGCCATTTAGAGAAAACGCAGTTCGAAAAAATATTTTAAAAGTAAAAATATCTAGAATTGTAACTGATGCCACAACTAAAGATGCACTTCAAATATCTGTTGATGTCATTAACAAGGGTCTGACATCACAGGAATTTTTCATAACTATTTCCAACTGTCCCTTCTCAAAAAGTGTATCAGTTATAACAACTGTAAACAAAATTCTGCTTCCTCATATATCAGAAACTATTACGTTTTTATTACCTTTTATAATGGGATCGAACAAAAAAGTAAAATTTAACTGTGAATGCAAGTATTCTATATATTCTAAACTATTAATATGTGCTTTATTTCACTGTAATGTACCAACATCTTATTTTTTTTAGTAATTGTTAAAGCTAACGAACTGAAGATATTAAAACAATCAGCTACGGTGCAATCAAACTCAATTATAGTGTCTAGAAGATCATTCGAAATAGAAACGCATTCGAGATGCTTTTGTGTTTGGAGTTGTCTTTGCCACTGTGTTGGGAATATAGAAACCCATATAGATGTTAGTATTTGTCAAAAGATGAATAATGCTGCGCAAAAAAATGCTGGCCTACTTATAAACTGTCCACCCAACAAAGATTTAAATGAAAATTGTTTAATGGACTCCATGAATGACGACAGAGATTTCAAAATGCATAAGACATATTATGCAATTGTTGGAATCGTTTTAATAATATTATTAATATTCGGTAAATATTAAAAAAAAAGTGAAACATTGCCTTAAACTAATTTTATATATTTGCTAATTTTATATATTTAAATCGAGTAAGAAAGCTCTAATTGAGACTGCTCGACTACGAGATCCCCTGAACCCTTCGAGCAACTGATATTTCAGTAATTATTCGCATATGCCCACATACACGCACACACACACACAGGCATACGTATGCACGCATAAACACACATTGTCTACAGTGTTGACTTACTATGGGAAGTTAATTGTTTAATAACGTTTCTTGTGGATGAACTATTTTCATGAAACTTTCAGATTATAATTATAATATGGATATGCATGTAATTGCCAAAGCACAAGTCTCTATTATTTGAAATTTTTACAAAAGTGAGGGTGAGGGGGTGAATTTAGAGGTGGGGGGTTAATTTTAACAACAACCGAAATTGCATAAATTGCATATAAGCATACATTAAAAATTTG